ATTGGTACTGGTTTGGGGTCAACTGGCGTGCCCCTGTGGCCTGGCTCGCCGCAACCTGGCTACTTCTCCCCGGCTTTATTCGCCGCGTGCAGGATCCTACGGCCGAATGGAGTGGGTGGTCACACCTGTACTACATGTCCTGGCCTCTCGGCTGCATTCTCGCCATGCTATTCTACTATCTGCTCGCTCGTGCTTTCCCTGTGCCGCAGCCCCAGGCTGTTGACGATGCAGATTACTTCGATACCTTTGGATTGGTCAATGACTCTGTTTCCGTGCTGGAAGGCGAGGTTGTTTCGGGCAACGGTAGTCTAGCTAAGAAGGACCAGGCTGTACTTTCTTCGGAGGAGATGAACCGGGTAGTCTAGATTTGAGTAGAACTCACTGTGAACATGCAATCAGCCCAGTTTTATTACATTTCAGGGCCGCAAAAGACAACCGACTCATACATAAGTGCCGTTTTGCTTCAGGAAACAAAGACCGGGACGCGCAGCTGGAAGTAGAAACCCATGCTCTCGTGCTCCAAAGGTCTGCGTAGCAAGTGACAAACCGATTAAACTATTCGCTAGGAAAACAAGCGTAGCGTTTGCAAGGTCTAAGTTAAGCTATACCCATGGGCGAAAGTTTACTAGCGGCGGCAGAATTGGTAAATAGGTATCATTGACTTTAGTCTGATAAGCTCGTCAGTATAAGATAGTGGCGTAAATCAGAACCACTATCAGATCACAGAGCGATGTGAATAGTACAGGAATCACTTGAACGCGATCTGACGCCATGCCTCCGAAGAAGCTGCTCTGCATCATCCCCATCTCGACAACCGGGATAACGCAGAGCCTTGCAGCCATCTACACATCGACAGCGCAAATCCAGCTCGACTTCATAGATGGCAGTGGACTGACAACTTGTCCGCCGTGTATCGAGAACCACGAACAAGCCGTCGAGTCGTCTGTGGCTATGCTGCCCAGAGTGACCAACTTCCTTGCCACCCGACAATTCGACGGCATCCTTACGTGCTGCTTCTCAGACCACCCACTGGTGTACGCTCTTCGACGACAGACGAGCATGCCGGTCACGGGCATTTTCCAAGCGGCGCTTATGATGGCTGTGCCAACCATGGTGACGGAGAATGAGCGGTTCGGAATAGTAACGACAACGGCGGCCTGGGAGCCAGTGCTGCAGGAGTCTGTTCAGGAGCTGGGCTACCAGGCTCATTGCGTGGGTGTACGTGCAACGAGGCTTGGTGTGTTGGATCTGGAGAGTCTTCCGGAAAGCCATGTCGTGGAGGTCTTCCGGCGATCAGCCCAGGAACTTGTGGACGCCGGGGCCATGACAATCATCCTGGGATGTGCGGGGATGGCCAGTCTTCGGAGAGGCATTCAGGCCGTCCTGCCACCTCGAGTCCGCATAGTCGACGGCGTGGAGGCCGGTATAACAGTTCTAGCCAAAGAGTGAACGGACAATTTGGTTATGTAGTCAGAGGATTGCTGTGCGAGCTCTAATCTTATGGAATCAAGCCTAAACTTTGCAGCTCATCCATATCGATGCTGTCTGACCAGGGAAACGTCTGCAACCAGTCGAGAGATGGTACGACATAGGGACAGTCATCTTGAGGTTGCGAGTCATCCAGATAGTTGGAACGCATTTTCTCAATGTGGACATCGATGCGATCAACGTGCCGTGAAAGCAGTAAACTTGCCGTGCTCGCTGTTGAATTGTCCATTTCCCGCAGGAAGGTAGACATTGACACACTGTGGCAGAGTTAAAATGAAAGGTACTCAACATAGTCATCAAAGGACACGACGAACATTAGGTTCCGTAGCTCTTGGTATTCCGTCCACAGCAGAGGCCGGCCGATGAATCCGCTGAGCAGATGCCCAACTCCAGACAGTTCTTGGAACTACAAGTGCAGATGAAATAGATCAGTTACCAGAGCACTGACTGGCGTAGCAAGACTTCATAGCACTGACCATACAAGAACCAATAGCCCGAAGATATGCACTTGGAACCTTGGAGATGCTGTTGATCATCTGCTGAGTTGCCGCACAGGCCGACGTGAACGTCATGGGATCACAGGCAAAGCACAATGTTTTTAGCAGCTAAATAGGTTGTTAGCAGAAAGTTCGTAGACGGGCTCTCCCCTTCCATGGTGTGGGCAAACGCGCCTGGCTTGTACAGACAATATTGGCCACTTGGAACCCGCAAAGATTCGCCTCGGCATTGGCAGAAGGCGGAAGGGCAGTCATCATGTCGCTTGGAAGGGACTCCAACCCACCTTGAAGAGCAGACAGTATTGTCTGCATGTTGAGATCTGGAGGTTCTCGCGGTGGGAGACGAGAGCTGTAAGCGTCTGCCACCATCCGGCCGGCCCGTTTGACTCGGTAGTGGCTGATGACGTGCTCGAGCGATCGGTACAGGTCTGTCACGAAGTTCCAACCGATGAGCCAGTTTCCTTCTGTGGGCTGTGAGTCCCCCGAGCCATCACTGGGGTATGCAACCATGGTCTGCTGCTCAGGACATCGAATCACATGGCCCATGACCAAGGCCGAGTGCACTTCCAGGCGATACATGGACCAGAAGACGCGCCGATATCTCTGTCTCTCTGGTTCCGTGAGCGTCGACGGCCAGTTGACTTCCTCATGTAGGTTTTGTTCTGCTATGAGGCTGTGGAAGAGACCCAGGTAGCGGTGGTGAAGGGAGGAGTGCCTGGTTTGGAAGGCAACCAGGACGAGGGACGCGATAGTGGGGAGGTATCTGAAGGCGTCTTGACCGCGAACATCGGCCGGGATGCTACGCTCGGCGTTGTCTATAAACACGGGAAGAAGCCCTGTCGCTGGGGCAGCCGTGGTGAAGGCTTCCTCCCGAGACGGCAGGACTGCACCGTCCTTGATATGAGACAGACTCAGAGCACATAGACCCATCAGATAAGAGAAGGAGCACCGGTCCGAGGAAAGGTCAGATCTGTGCCACTCGAGAAGAAGTGGTTGCTGATCAAATATCGGAAACCTGAAGAAATGGAACGGTAATCAGCACAGCACAGCACAGCACGGTCAGATAACGCAGGATGCACTGCACAGATAAGCATACACAGGATACACGGTCTGGAAGAATGTGTCTATAAGTGCGCGGATAGTGTCCCTTGGGCCATGAATCCGCTGATCGTAGATCCACGGACCAACACCACAAGGTTCATTCGTGTTCTGCTGGACCAATCTGCCCGACCGAGGCTTGACACCTCGCTTGGCCGTGACCCGGGTCCATGTGCAGGCCACGTCGTGCTCGAGGCACGTCAGGCATGAGAGCGATCCCTCTGCCGAGGGTAGCTTGCATTTACGGGCTCTCTTGTGGCAGAAGTCACAGGCTTTGGAAACCCTCCTGAGCTTTTTCTCCATGGTGTGAGTTCGCTGCTGGGAGAAGTGGAGGTTGAGGGTGTCGCAGATATCACATGGGTTGCGAAGCTAACGGGTGTACTCCGTAGGGGACACCGCACTAGCACAGCACTAGCATTCCACTGGGACTGGTTTGTGTGGGGTTTAGCTACAGTGGAGCCAACGACCCCTCCATTGCCATCTCCATCTTTATCTTCTGCCATCTCCATTCATCGTTTCAACTCGAGCCCGTTATCTAACGCTCGCACGCGTCGCTGTCGCCAATTCATCCACGGAAACGCCATGGCTGCTACGAACCCTGCGCGCAAGTCGACGGCTGTAGATTGTACTACCCCACGATCCAACGCGCCCTTTGGGTTGTACAGCCCGAAACATTCGTACCATTTCCACCATCGCGTACGCGCCCGAGACGATGCAACCACGATTGCGGCGGCGGCTGTCCTATACTGAGAGACCCATTCTGATTGTGAGATGACGAGAACGGCTCGCCAATCCAGCGACTGTATCCTGACGCCGTCCTCGATTTCGCCCACGTCCCTCAAAGCTTCGCTCAGCAACTTCCGCGCTTTCGCTAGCGACTGCATTTGCTGGCGTGTCAACCGCTCGGCCGATAATACACACAACTTCGTTCCGATGGTAAAACAGTCTGGCTCTGGCTAGGCCTGCTTTTCAGGCGCATCGCTGGAGCAAGCAGCTACTCCAGTCCTGCCGACATTTGCTACCGACATGGATGCTCTTGAAGCGCCAGAAGTCGCGTATCTCCAGATCACCAAGCCTGACGAGAAGAAGTGAGGGACGAAATACAGTATCCTACCAAGCAAGGCATTTTGATCAAAGATGTCGGCGCTGGAGAGTTGTCTGTTCTCCCTTTCTTCTCTGTACGTCAAAGCCTGACTGTGGCGAGCCATGTGACTGCCCAAGGTGCGTGTGTTGGAGAGGAGAACGGTTGAGGCCACTTCTGGAGCCATCAAGCTGAGGCAAGCAACTGCAACAGGGCTACCATCATTTGCCAAACCGGAATAGCTTGCCTGCGATTGAGCTTCGACTTGTGCATTCGAAGCCACCAAGGTGGCGGGCTGCTGAACAAAACGAATTCATCTTGTAGTAGATTCGGGAATCTTCTGTCACGAACGAACATTCGCAAGCAATCATCTGTCTTCAACTGCAACCCCAAACGCAGCATTCAAGGCCGCTACCGACAGCACACATTTGAAGATCATCCCTCTGTCCGATAAGCCGCAAATTGAAAGGCCTGGTCTCTCACTTGCACCATCAAATCCCTCCGAGGCGACCAAAGCTCCGAAACCAGCGTCGCTGCCGACAATGCAGAGCGCGACCCGAACGATTGCTGCACCGTCAACCCAGGGTCTTGCGATTCGTTGCTCCATACCCATATGTCAGCTGAATCGCCCTGTTCAAAAACCAAGTCAGGATCTGGCTGCTCTCGCAAGCACGCTATTTCGTCTCGATCAACATCATAACACCAGAAGCGCTCTGTTTAAGATCAGGGCACAAGCAGGAGTCACAAGACGAATTACCCAATAAGTAAAGAAATAGTGCCAGCTCACCAGACTGAAGGATGCCTCAGCTCTTGCTAAGCTTTTTGTACCCTCAAAGATGCCTGATGCTGAACAACCTGCTCTCGACAAGAACAAATTCGACAACCAAGTTGAGTTTCCTCAAGCTCTCATCGACGCTCCTGCTGAGGACCGCAATGGAAGGGTCAAGACACTACACGCCGCCTTATCCCACGATCTCTTCTCATTGGCGTTCTTACCCCTCCGCAAACATGTGTCTCCTACGACCAACCACGAGCGAGTCAATGAACCCCAGGTGAAGAGAGCGAAGCGTCATCGGTGGAGGCGGCTACGGCGAAGACGACGAAGCTTCAGGTTGCAGTGAACTCAGTCGCATCGTTCAGATCACCTAATCTCTCGTTGATGGTACGGCACTGGCGGGTATTCTGCTCATCGCCAAGATCAGCAAGAAACCCCCCGACTGAATGACGGTCATCTTCTCTGTCGTTCCTTTCCTCAGGATCTCCGACTCGCTGAGCCTTACAACACCACTACCTTCGTCGATCAGGTCGATAGCCCTGACAAGATCTTCTATGTCGACAACAATCTTCACAATGTTCAAATGCCCTCACAAATCCATCATCCCCTCGCACGGCAACACCGCCACCTTGCTTTATGTCCAATGCTACTACATGTCTCTGCGAGAAGCATGTTGCGACAAGACCTATAGAATTTTCGCCAAAAATACCGAGAACCTAGTTTGTAGCCAGGCACCAACGAACCCTGTGGCACTCTTCCTTAGATACTCAATCAGCTTTCCCCGATGTAAGGTAAACGTCATCAACTTCAACCTTTGGATTAGTATATGGAAGCCCTTCAGGCTAGACGGGGTAGCTGATGGTGCTCTGCTGAACTGTGGAAATAGCACCAAGGCCTGGTGGTCTCTGTGGACCTCCGCCAACTCGCCTCAATGCTAAGTTTTCGTCCGGATGACAAGAATTCGTGCCCAGGAGCAACTCTAGACAAATGTTTTACCCTTTTGCCATCACGGATCCCGTGCAGATGAACCTTGCATCCTGCATCGACTGCGACCCTCTGAAGATATGCGCCATCACCAACGGAGCTTCTGCAGCATACCAGGACTTATCAACTATTCTTCCATCAATTTGCATATTGACCGAGCATCGTCGACCGAATCCATTACCGCCCTTGAACGCAGTACGCGCCATTGTCGACAAAGTCAACCCACTAGAACCATTGCCACGCGCCATCACGGTCGCCGCCCAAATGATAACCGGAAACGAGCAGGCTTTTCGCCATGCTTCTTGTTTTTACCACTCTAATCTACACAGAGTGACAGTCATCGGACCCGTCAATAGCGAGTCGAGGCTCATCAATCAGCAACAGGGACAGGGACAGGGACACTGCCTTGACATTCCTCTCGTCTTTCTCGCCTGCTTTCGGTCTCCTCTCGCAATCACTTCAGGCCACCAAAGATAAACCTCGATATCCGTATGTCCCAACCGTAAACCAAACTATCTTGATCATCTGCGGCATCTCTCGCATGGTGGAACACTGTCACGCTTCCCGTTAAACCGCCCACCCTCGACATCATTCTACTAAAGCGACTTCTCGCCGGCCCATTGCAAATATTTACCCATTAGTTTGATCGGCAACTCGAAGCGCCGCGAAGCCCAAGTGTGGCCTTGGATGTCTTTGGCTTATTGGCGTACGCCCAATCTGAACAAGATGCTCGCCTTGGAACCTTGGTACGGGATCAGCCCCAGGGCCGCTTCGAATGTATAGAGGCGTGTGCCCAGGCCTCGCCTTACCGATGCAAATCATCTTTGTCATCATAGACGATATCGACTCTCTTGGCACCGAAGGGAACCGCCTCCTGATTTCTCAGCCATTCTGACCTCATGGAAACCGCCTCTGTCGCAACTTGGCCACTTCTTCTGAGCAGAAATGCGAATCTGGGCGAGTCTACTCTGTGGACACGGCAATTCTATTCCAGGCCATCAGCCACGCCCGCGTCACAGTGATGGCGGACCGCAAACTCAAGTTAGAGGATACTCGGCAAATTTCACGACGCCCGTTCAATCCGCAGCAAAAGTAGCATAAGTGCCACATCAGTCACGAGAACCGCGAGGTTGCCATGCTGTTTAACTCCTGCCAGCGACGTCATTGTTCTTGGGCCCTTACCTGACCATCTCAGGGCTGGAGGCAGCGTGACTGGCGAGTGCAATGTCCTGTCAACGAAACCTGTATCAGCTCTTTCGCCGACAGTTCTGCTGGCATGACGATAACTCCCCCAAGCATGTCAACACCTGCTGCTGTAATGACTACGATAACTGCCGCAACGTTAACCTCCAAAGCGAGCATGTCATCCTACGTACAGGAACCTTGGCGATAGCTGTCTCAGATCATACAACCAATCTCACTCCCAAAGTCGCGAAATGAATGCATTGCACAATGTGACTCACCCCAGCTTTGCTCCAAGACAGCTATCTGAGTCACCAGGCATTCTCGATATTGGATGCTCCCCTGTGTAGTAAGCATGGCATTGAGATCCGCTGACTTTCGTCGAAGTGGGCAGTGAGCTTGATGCTGCGGAATGGCGACCCGATTGCTCCACTGCTAACGCACAAGAGAAGCACCCGGCAAGAACATCAATCGAGATACTGAAACCTCAGGTAAGCCCCGAGCCAGCCTCGAGACTCTTCGGCAGACAAGGCTCCAATGAAGACGAGATGCTTGTGAGTACTACAAATTCGACTCAGTAACCGTCGGTGTATGTAGAGCCGGTGGGACTTCGCATAGCTATGATCACACCCAGCCAAGCTGACCGCTCCTGACTTGGGGAGGCACTGGTCTTTCGGGATGCCGGTTAGTATGTGCCTCTGGCCGTGTCTCGCTTCCGAGATTCGTGCGTGCGCTTGCAATGTCTGCTGCCAGCCGTATGTGTTAGAATTGAGCAAACTACGACATGTGAAGGGCATGCATCGCCATCTCATGCTGTTGTACTAGTAATAGACCGGATCTCTGATGATAACTTATTATCTTTGGCTGTGATTCGTGTATCTCTACCTCACCAACCATCATTATGCTTCTTATCTTAGCTAGCGCGATAATGAAGAGCCAGTAGCATCCGATAGCGACTGGCGTGACTGGACTAGACCGCTGTTTCTTTTGGAAAGCTTCACGATCTGTCTTGCTCTGAGTATTGTTGCTGCAACTAAGTTTGCCTACAAATCGACACCAACGTCAAACCATGCCCCCTAAGTGCGAGGCTGTTGGATGTTCATGGTCACGTTCTTCAGCTTTGCAACGGCTTGCCCTTCAGGAAATGAAAGACTTCGTTTGGCTGTAATAATCCGAGTACCTGAACGTAAATTGAAGATTGGTAATAAAGTCTACATGTCTTCAGATATTACCAGGCTTACCGTCGACAAAGGCCAAAACATCGCGCGCTGTAGTGGCATCGTATGGGTGCTTACAGATATTTGCAATGTCTTGTTCCCTGACAATCTGCTGATCTTCCCTCGATCTTCATAGTATCTCTAGCTAGGTGATCTTATGCTCAAGCCCCGAGGTCAGCGCCAGGGTGATATTTGTTGCCCGTGACAGGGACTTTAGGATTTCGCCTACGGTCCATCCGGCTTTCTGCAATTGTCTCCACTTCTGTGAAAACTCCAAGGGTGTCTTTGGGTCCTTGGAAACGTCGAATTTGGCGGGTTGAAGAGCTAGAATCTGAGTATACTCAGCTGGAGTGGCACCGACAAGCGTACACATAACGCTATGGCGGTACAGTCTAGTAAGAATTTCTATGGTCCGTCTTTGTGGCTAGTCCTTTTTGACACGAATTGCTGCCAGCAATAGATCAAGCTTGTAATGGTTGCGGCAGAGAATTATCGCAAGTGCACTGAAATGGTCTCGAATTAACGATGTTCTGGCAAAGTAGCGCAGACCATCAGTGAGGCCCTCTCTACGCTCTGATTTAAAGACGTCATCGCCATCGAGTGTCATTACAGGGCTTTGAAAGACGCGATAGTAGAGCGACGCTTTACTTCAGTGAGTGCTGATGGCTGCTGTTCGGAGTGGGAACAACGACTCTACCGACTGCTTGGTGAGGCGGGATAGTGTAATAATACGGGCCAAGTCGATTAGAACGTCTATGAAGAACCCATTGGCAGCATTTTTCATGTTACCAATAGTAGTGATGTTCTCGGTAGTGGCAGATAATATAGCACCGAGCTGGGGTATAGTTCAATCCAATCGCATCTTTAGACGAACAAAGGCCTGTAGCTCGTGGCATAGCTGGTCTGTCAAATCCCCCACAGCAGGCATCTCTGGCTCGACTGTCGTTACCGGAGCCAGCAAACGCATCTCAGAAATCTGGCCGGCGAACTTCTTGATTCTCTTTGCGTTGGTGATAACCAAACGACGACCGAAGAACAAACCATCGCAAATCTGGAGTAGCTCAGCAACCGACAGGCCAGACCGTGGCAGAAGCTGAGTCCCAATGAAGGATAACCGTGACGGGTTATTTTCATCTAGGTTTACTATGTCTTCGAGGTTCTTGTAGCCGAAATTCTCCACGAGTTTCTGATCTTGGACGTGCTGGGTTTCCCGACTGCTTTAGGCCGAGGACCAAGGGCAAGGCTCACAAGACTTTGCCTGTAGATAATCTCGCGCGCAATGGCAGACATTTCCTCCGCTTGGGGGCCCAGCGTTTCTGATGCTGCAGTTTGTTCCCATACGACTGACGCTTCGGAGAAGAGAAGGTCGACTGCAGAATCGTCTCCAGGAGGAAAACTGGCTATTCCGCCGTGAATGCCAGCTCCAATCCTAGCTTCAGAGCGGAGTACCGAGAGTACATCGCTATACGAGAGACCCAGAGCCCCGAGTCGTACGAAAACACGTCAAGCGGGAACATAGCATTTGAGAGCTTGTCCGCAAAGACATTGCTGGTAGTCAGCGACTTATCTTGCTTTTCTTGAAGGGGCTCAGCAGGCATATGGCCTTTCTCTAGGTCGAATTTGGTGACGGTGATGGTGAATAGACCGTTCTGGGTGTTTGGCGCTATTGGATTGCCGCATTAACTAGCGAGTACTAGCTTCTAAGATTAGCAGAGAGAACCAGAGAAGTATAGAACCAAGAAGCCAGTAGTCGCTAGTTTGATGCAGCAATCCAATAGCGCCAAACACCCTGGAGGAATCGTTTTGCCTGCCAGCTAATCCTATGCTAGTATCAGAGAACTTTAATTGCAGAAGCACAGTACTTAATACATTTAGCAGGGAGAATATATATCTATATTTTAATCGTTATTTAGCGTTATCTATTTTTAATAGTGGCGTTATAATATTAGCTTAAACCTAACTAAAGCTTAATCTAGTTTAATTTAATGCTAACCTGGCTAATTTAATATAATTAGCACTAGTCTAGGCCTGTTACCGCTAGGGAACGGGATGCACGGACAACTCATGTTTGCACCAAGCAGCAGTATGTCCCTATATATATGTATACTTCAAGATAGACTAAAAGATTTTTATTTTATTATATTCTATAGGCCCTTTACCATTTTCTATTTTAATATAAAGTCTTTAGTTATCTATTATAAATATACTATAAGTAGTAAAAATATAAATTCTATTATATAACTAAAATAATCTTAAAATTAAGTATTATAATGCTATTAATATATTATCTTTATCCTAATAGGCTGCT